TTATGTTTCCTGATTTGTATCCTGTAGTGCCGGGTTCAAACTATGGTCCTTAGGCCCAATAGGAGAATTGTCATTTAATTGATAGCAATTTTCTATATATTGGATGTTCCTCGTAGGACGATCTTCTGGACAACTTGTATGTTGATATTACCTGGAACACTGTTAGTAAAATTGTCCATTCCTTTTCTTACGAGGCCCAGTGCTCTGATTACTATTGGTACAGTCTCAGTCTTCATTCCCCATATCTTGTTATTCTCGATCTCCAGGTCCTTGTCCTTGGACAAGTCCTCGATAATTTTTATGGAGGTGTTTCTCTCAGATGGTACCGCTATGTCAATAAGCACACACTTCCTGAATTTCATGTCTTTTATGATAATATCAGGCATGTTGTCTTTTATTTCCCTGTCAGTTTGAATTGGCATGTCCCAGAGGATAGTTACATCGTTATTTTGAGTAATTGTGTCTGGTTGGTGTTCATACCATCTCTCAGTGGTTTCGATTTTGTGCTTCTTGCATATCTTCCAGCACATATGTCGTTACCTTGTTATGTCTGTGGGTGTATTCATTTTGAGCTAGTTCCAGACATTTTGAGATAATATGGTCGACAGTTTCACTATATTTTCCGCATTTCGGGTTAATTCTGTGCTTTATTATGTGACAGTGATAGGATCTGGTTGCGAGGCTTTGGTCCTGTGCTGCAATAATTAGGCTGATTATTATACCAAACAAACTGATGTAGACAAACACCGTACCTATCAGTGGCTACAAACTGCAGAGTTAAAAGCTGAAACTGAAGGTTTTATTCTTGCTGCACAGGACCAGTGGTTGCTAACTAAAAATTACCAAGTATACATAGGGAAAAATTGTGTTAGTCCAAAATGCAGATTCTGTGATAAATATCCAGAAACAATTGACCATCTTGTATCAGGTTGCGCGGTACTGGCACCCACTGAATATAAAATACAGCACGACAGAGTGGGCCAATATCTGCACTGGAAAATCTGCAACTTTATTTTTTTTTTTTTAATCATTTCACCCCAAGCAAGGCGGAATGCCACTAGTACGCAAGGGGTTACAGAGTGGGAGCGAGAGTAAAGAGATGTGACGGAGGAAAAGATGAAGAGAAGGACAGGGAATAGGTCAGGTCATCTGGAGATGTCGATTAACATTACATTTGAATAGTTGGAGATTATATCTATCAGGGAAACAAGTAACAGGAAGGGAATTCCACAGACGGGAAGTGCGAGACATGAAGCTATTGGAGTAGAAAAGACGGCCACATTTAACCGTTTCGACAGTAGTAAATTGGTATGAACACCACCCAGACCCGCTTACGTAGATAGGACAATTTTATGGGACTTTAAAATACACACAGGCAGAACAATCAAATCTAATCCCCCTAACATCGTGAGAGACCGCAAAGACAAAATATGCCTCCATATTTGTTGGACGTAGGCCTTCCCTAGATTCCTGGAGGAGGAATTGGTCATTACCTCTACTGCGTGTTGGCAGGGGCGGGTGTGACACGCTTGGTCGACGATGTCTCTTTTCGATTCATGATCGCCCAAGTGTTTTCCGGCTGGAATACGAACTCGGCACTCCGATTTCTCAATACGAGCCGTTATCCATTACACCACCCGCACATCTACGCTTACAAGACCTGGTATTCCCAAGCTGTCACCCATCTAGGTACTGACTAGGTTCAGTGTTGCTTAACATCGGTGATCGGACGAGAACAGTTGTTTCATTTTGACATGGTTGTAAGCCCATTTGAATTTTCTGAAGAATTGTAATATCAGTGGAAATTTTTCTGTTGTCACGTTAAATATTTGAGCTTAACAAATCGAACAAAATATTACAATAGCAATAAATACGGAAGCGGGCTATTACTTAAAGAAGTAAGGGGATACAAATGAAAAGATTTAAAATTGACAAGGTTTTCCATTCACTGGAGCAGGGGTTAAACACATGAGTGTGTTATCGCCTCCGCTATCTTTCTTTGCCTTTCTTTCTTTCTTTCTTTCTTTCTTTCTTTCTTCAGTGTTTCTTTCTTTCTTTCTTTCTTTCTTCAGTGTTTCTTTCTTTCTTTCTTTCTTTCTACAGTTTCTTTCTTTCTTTATTTCTAAAGGGATTCTTTCTTTCTTTCTTTCTTTCTTTCTTTATTTCTAAAGGGATTCTTTCTTCCTTTCTTTCTACAGTGTTTCATTCTTTCTTTCTTTCTTTCTTTCTTTCTTTCTTTCTTTATTTCTAAAGGGATTCTTTCTTCCTTTCTTTCTACAGTGTTTCTTTCTTTCTTTCTTTCTTTCTTTCTTTCTTTATTTCTAAAGGGATTCTTTCTTTCATTCGTTCTACAGTGATTCTTTCTTTCTTTTTTCTTTCTTTTTTTCTTTTTACTTCAGTGATTCTTTCTTTCTTTCTTTCTTTCTTTCTTTCTTTCTACAGTGATTCTTTATTTATTTCTAAAGGGATTCTTTCATTCTTTCTAAAGTGATTCTTTCTTTCTTTTTGCTTCAGTGATTCTTTCTTTCTTTCTTTCTTTCGTTCTTTTTGCTTCAGTGACTCTTTCTTTCTTTCTTTCTTTCTTTCTTTCTTTCTTTCTTTCTACAGTGTTTCTTTCTTTATTTCTTTCTACAGTGTTTCTTTCTTTATTTCTAAAGGGATTCTTTCTTTCATTCGTTCTACAGTGATTCTTTCTTTCTTTTTTCTTTCTTTCTTTCTTTCTTTTTACTTCAGTGATTCTTCTTTCATTCTTTCTTTCATTCTTTCTACAGTGATTCTTTCTTTCTTTCTTTTTACTTCAGTGATTCTTCTTTCTTTCTTTCTTTCTTTCTTTCTACAGTGATTCTTTCTTTCTTTCTTTCTTTTTACTTCAGTGATTCTTCTTTCTTTCTTTCTTTCTTTCTTTCTTTCTTTCTACCGTGATTCTTTCTTTCTTTCTTTTTACTTCAGTGATTCTTCTTTCTTTCTTTCTTTCTTTCTTTCTTTCTTTCTTTCTACAGTGATTCTTTCTTTCTTTCTTTCTTTTTACTTCAATGATTCTTCTTTCTTTCTTTCTTTCTTTTTTTCTTTCTACAGTGATTCTTTCTTTATTTCTTTCCTTCTTTTCCCTTCTTTTGCTAAAAACAAACAGCTACTACGGAAAGGCATAATTATAATATGATAATAATTTACATATATAAATACATATTTATGTATGTATGCGTGTGTGCGCGCATACGCATGTGTGTGAGTGTGTGTGATAAGTGTCTAAGTCACGTGAATAATCAAGTTCATAAATAATAGATAATTCTTGAAGATATCTATATTAAAAAAAAAAAAAATGAAACCAACCCTAAATAAAACTAATTATGAATACTGCACAAATGTTCTAAAATCTTTACAGTAGATAGTTTAAAATGTCGAGGTTTTAACTAATAGTTTTAAATAGTTAAAAAAAGAAACATTTAGACATTTCATAACTTAGTTACCTCCCCTGACATTTACATCGCGAAATTTAAATCTTACAGTACATAACCTTAGTGTTTTTCACTTCACAGTTAAAAAAAATTAACTTTCATATGAACACAATAATTGTGTGTGTGTGTGTATTAAGACAATAAACCGGAAATACTTGACCTTCTACCCATAATACCTCATTAAATAGCATATATAAATAGTCGAGCCGTCGCACAACAAACATATCCTGAAGATTGCGTTCAAGAAACAGACTGTAGCCGATCAGTGTTGACCTCAATGTCAACTGTTATATTTACATACGCCTTGTGCTTGATGCTGAGCAAATTTACCCATAATCACCTTAAAACAATGTTTTTATCATATATATATTTCCCTGACGATCCGCTTAGGTGAAACCTAGGTAGGTTTGTCTGGCTCACTAGGTTTATCTAGGTCTGCTCTACGGTTGTATTGAGCTCTTTTGTTTGTTAGTTGTTTACTCGTATCGGTTTTTTTTTCTTTGGGCTTCAATCTGTGCGATTTTTTTCGACAGACTTTCATGTTTGTAGCTCTTTCTTTTTTTAAAACCTTTTTTCCCTCGAGATTGATTTGATTATTGGCAAATCAAAAATTCGAAGGCTTTTCGAAACGAGTATAGTTACTTTCCTATATATATATATATATATATATATATATATATATATATATATATATAGTAACAAATCTTCTTTCAAAAAATGTTCTTTCAAAATTTTGAATCTACCAGCGTCTCTCGTTTCGTAAGCATGTTTAGTCCTGCCAACATCAACAAGCCTAGTCTGATGAAGTGCTAACGGATGAAACGCGATACAAAAACAATTTGTCATACTATTTTCTCAATATTGTTTTTAACATATAAAATTATATATCGCTATGTCATAATATATATATATATATATATATATATATATAATGTTATGTGTCGCATTGGGATGTCTGATTCGTTTGCTTGCATATACATATATTTCCAGCCATTATTTAATTAGAAAAATTTTAATTGCTTTTATGAATACGATTTATTATGTATATGATTGTCTTGAGAAAAAAAAATCGATAAATAATGAATTTTTACAAGAATTGTTTTCGTATTTTTTAAAATTTTAATTATATTAATTTATAAAGTTTTAAATCTTTTAAAATTCTGTCTTAATTTCTCCTGGTTAAGTGTATTTGTTATTAAGTAATCCGAAAATAAGCGAGATAACTATAGTAAATTTAAATCCAAAGTACATACAATGCAATAAATAGAATATTTTCCTAAATTATTAAGAATTCTGGGTAGTTTAAAATTATGCAAAAATGGAGCTCACATTATATTCCTCAAGTAATTTTACAGATCTATTCCCTGTGAGTCAAGCTGTCAACACCTTAAATAAACACTTACCGCGTTTAAAATATTGCAAAAATGCAATTTTAAACAACAACAAGAAACGCCTTTCTGCAATATTTTAAACTTAAAGTGAGTAATATTCGTATCAAATCAGATTAATTAAACTTTAAATCAGTTAATATTTCTCAAATAAAGTTTCAAAAAGGTATATTTTATTTTTGAAATGTTGTTTAATTAAGACAATTCTATCGTGATGAAGGATGGCTAAAAATGGGGCTAAAATCACCAATTTTAGTAATTTCAAAGCAAAAACCACTTCCAATCACTATTTACATTATTCGAACTATTGTCCTCATCTTTGTTGCCATATTTATCACAACGTTTCGACCGTTGTACGCTCCAGCCTTCTTCAGGTGGTTGGAATATCGAACTGAACCCATTATTTCGCTCACTGGGGTAGACTGTTCTAGTTCCACGTGCCATGTTTAATGGATGTTATCAGTTATCTCCTGTTAATTCCCCTCTCCAAGTTCTCCACTGCCTGGGGTAGACTGTTCTAGTTCCACGTGCCACGTCCTTAAGGACACATGTGTCATACTTATTCTATTGTAATAGACACTCCCACAGATAATAAGTAGTAGTAGCAGTGGCCAGTTGAGCTCAGTGGCGTTGAGCGGTCTCTGACTGCGCGCGCCTTCTGTCGAACTCTCTGCATTAGCAGAGAGGAACCCGGACGAGGCTTTGCCGAAGGTCGGGGTTTCGTCCGAGGAGGTAGACAGTCTAGGCGGGTTCAAAGGCTATATTTTTGGCCGAGCCTACGGGCTCGGGGATACCCACATTAAAACCGGCCTTGTGCCATATTCGGTCCTCGTGGGTGGAACGATAAATACTCAGTGGTGTTGAGTGAGTCAGTCGATGTCGGACATTGAAGTATCAACCATGACAACTAGATTGCTGCGTCATTAACTCTTATTTCAAGTTCCTAACGTATTGTACGTCGGACTGTTTTAGGACAGACTTAATGAAATACAAGCCTCCACTGTGAAAACTACTTACAACAACATGGCACAGTGGTTAGATCTAGTGACAGGACCCAAAGAGATGTGAGTTCAATACCTGGTTAAGGCATTGGAGAACTTGGAGAGGTGAATTAACAGGAGATAACTGATAACTGACATCCATCAGACATGGCATGTGGAACTAGGCCATCGTCGCACGGCAGAAAAAAAAAACGAATTTTAACGTTTTTCTCTTTACGAAATACACCAGCGGCTCGGAGAACTCAATTCATACTTGAAGAGTAATGCTAATAGCAGTAGGAGCGGCTGTTTTTAAAACCCTCTTTCTCTAGAGAGCTCAACCGTATTTCCGGGAGCATATATATAGTCATCCACAGACAGACTGTTTCGCTGTATTACAGCTCCTCGGTGTGGTTGGACGTCCGATTGCTTCAAGCCGGGATCGAACCCGACTGATTCCACCTACATATATATACATATATACATACAGGTTTTGAGTTTTATCTTGTAATGTTCGGTTTTATTAGAAATATTTACAATAGCGTATTTAATGGTATTATGGTACGAGTGCTACTGGTAGCCTGCAACCTGTTAATAACAGTCAACTACGAAATTATTTGCACACCCATCAATTTTGAATATTTTTAACCATTTCTCAGAATCTAATGCCTGTATGATGCCATGGTATTATCACAAATATTCTACTTAATATATATTCTAGAAGGCTTCACCGATAAAATAATTATGTAAATCACTTAAACTTATAGGAATCAATCAATTTGTAACGATATTTTCTACTGTTCGAATAATTTTGTCTTTTCCTTTTTTTTATAATTCGCCTGTTAAATTTGTTATATTTAACCCGTTGGTTCTGAAAATTGAGTTTTATATATATATATATATATATATATATATACATATATATATTGAGTTTTATATATATATATATATATATATATATATATATATATATATATAAAATTTAGTTTCATATATATATATATATATATAAAATTGAGTTTTCATATATATATATATATAAAATTGAGTTTCATATATATATATATATATCTATATATAAAATTGAGTTTCATATATATATATATATATATATATATAAAATTGAGTTTCATATATATATATATATATAAAATTGAGTTTCATATATATATATATATATATATAAATTGAGTTTCATATATATATATATATATATATAAATGGAGGTTTCATATATATATATATATATATATATAATTGAGTTTCATATATATATATATATATATATATATAATTGAGTTTCATATATATATATATATATATAAAATTGAGTTTCATATATATATATATATATATATATATAAAATTGAGTTTCATATATATATATATATAATTGAGTTTCATATATATATATATATATATATACTCAATTTTACGAAATTATTCATACACCCATCAATTTTAATTTTTTATCCATTTTCTCAGAATCTAATGGTCGTAGTTTTATATATATCATACATAAATATATATATATATATATATATATATATATATATATATATATATATATATATATATATATATATATATATATATATAATTATTCACACAAAAACTAATGCAAAGGTTAATGATTTAAATCATTAACATTTTGTGTGAATAATTCATGTATTTGTAAATTGATTGCACGTTTATCGTAATTTAAATATATATATATATATATATATATGTGTGTGTGTGTGTGTGTGTGTGTGTGTGTGTGTGTGGTGCTTATATACATATAAAAAGAAACTGGCAACAGACTGGCATTAGATTCTGAGAAATGGATAAAAAAAAAATCTAAAATTGATGGGTGTACGAATAATTTCGTCGTTTACTACACCTTCCGCATGGTTGGGTCATCGGCGACTAAACCGTTTCCCCCGAACAGCCTTATTCTGACGAGGGATGGTGGATAGACACCCAGCAGGATTTAAACTAAAAGCTATCAAAGGCAAGATGAACCTTCTTTTGGGGTCGATGGCCATCAAGAACAATGGGTGCGCTACATAAGTTTTGTGAGTGAAATTGTGTGTCGGGACAACTATCCTAACCTGGTTAGATGAAAAGGATTCGCCGAATCCCTATATTTCCAACTCTCTTGACCCTTTTATTTAAATGATTTCACTTCCCAACTGGCCTCAGTTTGCCATGCCTATCAGGATGGTACACGGACAATGTTTCAAGATCACTCACCTTAACCTTTCTTGACCATGCTTTTTTCCAGCACAATCTCCTTTTAACTCTCATCATCATCCTTCGACCTCCCTATGGTTGGTCGGAACTCCAGTGACATTCCCTTTCCACGCTGTTCGGTCCCGTATTGATGTTCACAGGTTCCCAATATCCAAACCTGAGTCCCGAGCTATGGAGTCTGCGAAAGTCAATTTTCGTGAGAAGACACTTCCAGAAGGATGCCATAGGAGTAAGGATGAGATGATTTCCCTGTCCGCTCAGTGGCTGGGAAACTGTAGTCATTTTTTGAGCTTAAGAGACATTGGTCTCAGTTCTCTGTAAATTGTGTTGAGCATTGCAGGGGATCTCCAACGGATTTCCTGGATTTTTCTAAGTAGATTTGTATAAATTCCATCCAGTCGTTTTTCAAAAAGTTTTAACTATTTCCTCTCAGTGCTGGATGTTCAAACACCAAATGAAAGAATCAATCCCGGGTTCATCCTGATTAATATATATATATTTTTTCAGTATTGCACAGGGCTAGGAACAGACTCCACCTCAACATTTTGGAGTCTGTTATTATCAACATACGTAGGCCGGCCCTCTGCGTACAACGAGAGATGAAGTTTAAGTTGGCCTTATTTGGGGGAACGGTTACATGATTTGAGGTAAAATAATTTTTTTTCCCCACTTACCATCTTGTTTTATTACGGTATTAATAAAAAAGTTTTTTCTTGTTAATACTCTGTTTTAGATTACCGACGATTGTGTTTGAAAATGCGTCGGTCGAAAGGCGCCTTACATTTTAGGTTTTAAACGCAGATACTGTTGTATCTTATGTTTAATATGATCCCATATTTTTTATTCCTTAAATGTCTGATTAGATTTGGCAGTACGAGAAATCTGTTTAAATATATATATATATATATATATATATATATATATATATATATATGTCTATGTAGAGAATGATGGGTATAAGTTGATTATGTATTCAAACGAATACTTGTAAAATCGTTGAAAAAGCTCTTAAACTCCATTAAAATTACCTTCCTCATCATCAACCTTTGACCTCCCTATGGTTGGTCGGAACTCCATTGACAATCCTTTTCCACACTGTGCGATCCTGTATTGCTTTCCACAGAACTCCAATGTCCAACCTTGAGTCCTGATCTATGGTGTCTGCGAAAGTCAATTTTCGTGAGAAGACACTTCCTGAAAGATGCCATGGGAGTAAGGATGCGATGTCTTCCCTCGGCGACAGTGGCCGGCAAACTGTAATCTTTTGTGTTAAGAGAGATTGCTCACAGTTCTCCATAGATTGTGTTAAGCGTTGTATGGGATCTCCAACCGATTTGTATAGGTTCCATCCAGTCGTCTTTTAAGACGAGCAGATAATGTCCAAGTTTCTGATCCATACACGAAGACTAGTTCGAAAGCTTTGGTATTTTAAGGAGGATGGAAGGTTCGAGGGTCAAATCTAGCGAATCCGAAAAGCGCCGTATGCGATTATACTCACGAAATGCATTTGTGTCGCTTTGTATGTCGGAATTTCTTTTCGACAATAGCGACATTTTTATGTTTAAATGAGCATTATTTTCCTTTTTTTTCTTTTTCTTTTTTTTTTTTTTGTAGATTCTATTCTTGTGATTTGTCTGAGGAAGTATATTAAATAACATCTTTTTCTATTGTTGTCCATGCTAATCAGAATTTGAAAAACAAACACGAAATTATCAATAAGACCGAGGTCATGACCTTCAGCAAGAGACCAGAAAAACTGGACATTAACATCAATCGGACCCAACTAAAGCAAACCAGTGAATTCATATATCTGGGCAGCATATTTACTGAAAACGTCAAACTAGACATAGAAATCGAGACCCGACATTAGAAAGCCAACGCAGTCAGTTACCAACTTGTTCCTCTTCTAAAACATCATTGCATTTCCATGAGCACCAAGACAAATCTCATCAATGCCATTTTTCTACCAACGTTGATATACCAGTACCAGACCTGGCCCTTAAGTAAAAACCCTTGAGAGGAAATTGATCACTTGTAAGATGAAATGCCTGAGGAAAGCAGTGAAGAAGACCAGGCGAGACAATTTATATTACAATGAATCATTCATACAAAAAGTAAATTAGTAAAGTTAAATTACTAAAGTTCATAAATAATAAATGCGAATGTCAGTGTGTCACTGTGTCACAGTTCTTCAACTTTATTCCTAGAGGCTGTAGCCCAAAATATCATACCATTTTGGAATCAGGCTGACTCCGTGAGCAAATTAACGAACATTCCGGATAAGATTCCGGACCAGCAATCCCGGAATTTTGGATTCCCAAGTTTTCATTACTGCGATTATTTTCAATGAATTTTTACGTGATTTTTTATTTATATTTTTATTTTTATTTTATTTTATTTTATTTTTTTTCTGCGACGAATATTTTGTACGATAACAATTTTTATAACTTAGAAATAAATTTGGGTCAAATCGAAATTAATTTCGAAATCTAGCGAAAGTTACCTATGAAATAAAATAATTGTTTGTACGTAAAGTAAGAAGCTACGAACATCAAATTGTCTTTAAATTAAGTTGCGGTAGAAGAATTATCGTTAAACTTTTAAAAGGTAAGTTTAAATATTAATGCAATACTTAAATGCAGCTATCAATTTTGGGTTGTTTTCTTTTGTAGTTTATTGTTGCCTACTGCATTTACTCCTCAATTGTGATGAAGACCCAATCAAGTGCACTCCGCAGGAGCTAACATAAATGGCACCAGATATCGCGGCTTTTGAGCTAGTATATATACATATATATGCTGGACTATTTCGTCGCGCACGTCAAATGAAAATAAAGAGGTTCTCAACGTCTATGGACATGCATGTGTATCCAGAGGCCTGCAGGTATAGGGTGTTCCAATTACTTGAACAGATTTTAAATGTGAATTAAGTTTAAGCGTCTAATGATTTGTTTTCATTTTCTTTTAGATTTAACGACTAAAGTCTTTGGGAAATTCAACCATCGAAAGATTAACAAACAATGTGTTAAAGTTACCTTCTTCGTCACATCCTCCTCCTCCTACTACTACTACTGCTACTTCTTCTTCCTCTTATCTTCCACCACTTTCTTTTTCTTCTTCTTTCCATTCTCCTCATTTTCCTTGTTGTTGTTCTTCACATCCTCCTACTCCTCCTGCTCCTCCTGCTCCTCATCCTCCCTCTTCTTCTTCTTCTTCTTTCTTGTTCTCTAGTTATTCTTCTTCCCATTCTGCCCATTCTCCTTCTTTTTCTTCTTCACATCCTCCTACTACTTCTTCTTCTTCTTCTTCTTCTTTCCATTCTCCTCATTCTCCTTCTTTTTCTTCTTCACATCCTCCCCCTCCTCCTCCTACTACTTCTTCTTCTCATTCTCCTAGGTCTTTTTCTTCTTCACATCCTCCTCCTCCTACTTCTTCTTCTTGTTCTTTCTTGTTCTTGTTATTCTTCTTACCATTCTCCTCATTCTCCTTCTTTTTCTTCTTCACATCCTCCCCCTCCTCCTCCTACTACTTCGTCTTTCCATTCTCCTCATTCTCCTTCTTCTTTTTCTTCTTCACTTCCTCCTTCTCCTCCTTCTCCTACTACTACTGCTTCTTCTTCCCATTCTCCTAGTGCTTTTTCTTCTTCACATCCTCCTCCTCCTCCTACTTCTTCTTCTTCACGTCTTCCTCCACTTTCTTCTTCTTCTTCTTCTTCCAATTCTCTTCATTCTCCTTGTTCTTTTTCTCCTTCACATCTTCCTTCTCTTTCTTCTTCTTCGTGTAAAATAATAACTAAATCGTACGTATAAAAACAAATCAAAATACATTAAACACGATCGGAATTTCTGCCTCATTTACATCTACCCCTCCCCCGACCACCTCACCTTCCCCCCCACCCCAGCCCCAAATAGAAATATGCTATGCACACGCACACATGTTACACGTGTGCGTGTGCAAACGCCAGGTTAAATTTTAATCCCCCCAAGTAAATACACTGCGGTCAGTTTATTAAGTGCATCTTAAAGAAATATTAAAAAAATAAATGCAAATGAAATTCCGGCCTTGTCGATTCACCTTTATTTAACTTTCCTCAACTTTGCATAGTTCTCACAGTAGAGAATCTACATGCGGAAGAGTGTGATGCGCCAATCATCTAAAAACTGAATTACCTTAAAACTATACTACTATATTTAGTACTTTATAACTGTATTAAAAGTGATCATTCGAAATACTAGCCTTTTTTTCCGAACTTAGAAAATAGACCCAACCTAACAAGTTTCAGTCAATCAGTTATGTGCGACGCGTGATACACGCTTAGACGATCATGTATCTCTCGATACATGACTGACGAGGCAGATTTCTGCCTGCAGTAGATTGCCATTTCTTTCCAGCGGTAGACCATTTGCCATCCAAGGCTATAGAACTCGGTCTATCCTGCTATTTACCTATAACTGGGGGAGGGGGAATACGATTTAAAACTTTCCCAAGGGTATTAGCATGTAAGTGAATGTAATGGATTCAACTGGAAAGTCAGTCAGTCATTTATGTACCACGGTGCAGTAGGTTACCATTTCTTTCTGTGGTAGACCAGTTGCCATCCAAGGCTATAGAACCCGGTCTGTCCTGCTACTGGGAGAAGAAGAGGATTCATGCTTTTCCTAAGTAAGTGTATATAATGGATTTGACTGGAATTCGAACTCGGCTCTCCGATTCCTCAATCCAAGCCACTATCCATTACACCGAATTGCTTAGAAGGAAGGACTGAAGGGTTATCGGCCTAACCCACTTCCTAAAATCTACCCAAATAACAAATTTTGGTAGGGAAGGACTTTTCTTTTTTTTTTTTTTTTTTTTTGTTGTTGTTAAACAAAAAACATTTCAGCACCCTCTTCTATATAATGTCAAACAAACACACGCACACACATACATAGATATATCGTCATTCACTTACATAAGTGTCTCTCAACGTGGTCCAGGTGGACCACCGGTGGACCACCGGTGGTCCACATAGCATTTCTAGTGGTCCACAGAGAATTCGTAGCCATAAAAAATTGTAGCGATTTCACAAGAAAATTATCAAAATTATTCATACTTTGAAGAAGTAAAAAATATAATAGTTTGTTTAATTGCATTATATTTGAAAATTTGAAATTACGTAGGTATTATGCAGTGTTATATTTATTTTATTTTTATCATATATATATATATATATATATATATATATATATATATAATTATTTTAAAAAACATGAATTTAAGCTCTATTTCTGTATGGAGCACTGTTTTTTTTTTTTATTATTATTTTAGAATTATTTACCTAACGTGTTCTTTTCCTATTTTTCTACATACACACACACACACACATATATATATATATATATGTATATACACAGGGTGTCCATAAAGTTCATGTGCACTTTAAAAAATATATAACTTTATTTGTATTTGCGATAATCCGTAAAAAAATGTTATAAAGCTTAATGTACCTAGTTTTAAGTATAGCTAAAATAACTAATGTGATTTCAGGCATTACTGCAAATCAGCTGGCAAATGTTTTCCGTGAAAAATCGTATTACCCTTTGTATTGCTAATGATGGGGGACATGTGGAAATTTCAATAAAACCTTAAAAAAATATAGATTTACTTCTTTCTAATCCTTTTTACAAATTATTTCTATCGCAAATACAAATAAAGTTATAACACACGAACTTTATGGATACCTCTGTGTATATATATATATATATATATATATATATATATATATATATATATATATATATATATATATATATATATATATATATGTGTGTGTGTGTGTGTGTGTATTATGAAATGGACAAAGTCCGACAATTATTTTAAGACATTTTATGTTTTATACATTCTTTTATAGATACAAATATTTAAGTAAATGCTCTGTTTATAATAAACAGTATTAAACAACATTTACCGGCCTGAATGTCGAGAAATTTTCATAGAAAATATTCGTCCTCCGACAGGATTCGAACCTGTATCCTATTCATGGAAGTTTGACGTCTAAATACAGTAAATTCGACCTTGCTAACCTCTGTGGCCAAGTCGGTAAAAGCACGCCAGGCTATATGACGGTTCCGTATAGGATACAGGTTCGAATCCTGTCGGAGGACAAGTATTTTCTTTGAAAATTTCTCGGACATACTGTTTATTGTAAACAGAGCATTTACTTAAATATTTGTATCTATAAAAAGAATGTTTAAACATAAAAAATGTCTTAAAATAATATATATTTTTTTTTTTTTTCATATAAATTATTCATACGTTAAAAGATGGATGGTGTAATCGGAATTTTTGACTGTTGCGGATGTTTTTAGTAGAAAAAGAAATAAATTAGATCTCAACACCAGAGAAACTATAAGACTAAGACTGAATGGTACCATCAAAATGGATTATGATATCTTGTGTCAGAAACACCAAAATCAAGGTACTCACTAACTGAACAGACTAAGTCCGAATGCCATCAACAAAACTGATTTTGATATAATGTCTTTATCCCTGTTAAGTAATTAAGTAAATTAAATTTTAAAGTGCAAATAGTCTACTGTCTTTTTATTGAGTATTTTAGTGTGAAAATTGAACAGCCTAAAAGTAAAAGTAGGGCGTATCCATTTGAAATATTTGAAGAAAAAATAGTCCATGAGCTGAAAAAAGTTGAGAAGCACTGACTTACATAATACACGTCTATGTCTGTAGGTTCATCAATAAGTTCTTAAGTCAATATAAAACCGAAATAAAGAGAAATTTATTTTAAACAAAGAAGTATATTTATTTATAATCACTTTCAGTATCTGTCTGTAATTCTGAGATTAGGTATAATGTACACTATTTATTTGGCACAGTGGATAAAGGCGTTGGTTAGATCCAGTGACAGGACACAAAGAGTGTGAGTTCAATACCCGGTTAAGGCAGTGAAGAAATTGGAGAGGGGAATTCACAAGAGATAACTGATAACTGACATCCATTAAACGTGGAACTAGAACAGTCTACCCCAGTGAGCGAAATAAAGGGTTCAGTTCGACTTTCCAACCACCTGAAGAAGGCCGGGGCATACAACGGCCGAAACGTTGTAATAAATATGGCGACAAATATGACAACAAATCTGAATAATGTAAATAGTGTACATAATGGCTTTCCTTTTCAATTAGTAGCAATTAAAATTAATTGCAAATCGGACATTATATAATAAAACTCTCAGCTCAAAATTTAGCAAGTTTGGCAATATCTCTGTCTCGCAGCCCATCTTTGTATACTGTCATGCATAATTAAAAAAACGAAAGAATATTAATCTACAACCCAGTGTGTCTAAAGATTTTAATTTTTTAATATTTTTTTATTGTTCAAAATATATATATATTGCATTTAGAAACTAGAATCAATCAGTATGTACCTTCCAAAATACGACTTGGCAAGATAGATAAAATATGCTATCTTCCCCCCATGAATATGGAATCGGCTATTGCTCAACATTTAGTTGAGAATATAGCCTGCGCCAAGTCGTTTAAAAAAGAGTGGTTTAAAATTATTCATACAGCCGATTCCAATAATGATTTGAAGATTTTGGAATCGGTCTGTATAGGATTAAGGAAACCTTCTTTCTGCCGGCAGAAAGAATTTGTAAAGTCTCTTAATCTGTTGGGGGATATCCTCGCTAATTTATTTACACGATTATTTCCCTCCCTCGTTACAAATATATACACTTGTTTGTTTTTTGTTTTTTTAGTGTGTTTCCCCATCTTTTTGCTCTTCATTGTCGTTAATATTCTTTTCGTTGATCCAACGATTGTCTCCTGATGAGATGTTGGTTGAAAGGGCCTTAGGGACTTTTAAATCAATACATTCCTTGTTTTTTAAAAATTATATAAAAATTTGTTTATATATATATATATATATATATATATATATATATATATATATATATATATGTTAATGGTCAGACTTGAATTCGACCATGAAACTGTGCTCAATACACGTATAAAAAAATTAACATATAGCAAAAAAATGCTGATATATATAGATAGGTATAAAAATATATATGATATATATATATATATATGCGCACGCACAAACATACACACAGAGAAAATCCAACCATGACCTAAATTAAATGGTCAAAGCAATAGTAATAAACCAGATATCAACGGAGAGGGGCGAGGAAATAATAAAAGAAAAAAAAATTAAAAATAGAAGGAAAAAGGAAGAGAACCCAACAACCAATCAACACCCATCAAGCGAAAAAGAAAAATAATACACTCACAACACAATAAAAGGACAAAAACTTCGAGAAATATCAGCAGTTCAACTCGGTTCTGATGAGTCGGCGCGTCTGTGAGGCTATTAGTCTTTTAAATAAACAAGAGGTAACTGAAAAAAATTTTTAAATTAATTCTGTGGACACACACACACACACATATATATATATATATATATATATATATATATATATATATATATATATATATATATATATATATAATAAAAAGGCTTAAACACTAATATTAGCGTTTAAGCCTTTTTATTATATCCTTACTCTGTCCTGGACATTGAGTTCTACCTGAATTCTATCCTCTTGAATATTTTTTTTATACAAAATATATATGTATGTATATGCATGTATGTATTAATATTTATATATTTTGCATATGTATGTGTATATTTTACATATATATATATATATATATATATATATATATATATATATATATATATATATATATATATATATATATATATCAGTGCGTACGTGCGTGTGTTTGTGTGTGTGTGTGTGTCGGGACAA